TATTGTGTTTTATGCTAGATCCATCTGCCTAATGTTTGCGCCAACGAATGATTCGGCACGTCTTATTTTTGTACAGTCAAGAGTTTATTGACCATCCGTGTCCGGCAAACGGCTAGCTGTTTTTTTTACATATTATTTTATCATACATAATATGTATATTGTTCATTATATTTATCTTGTCGTAAATGGTTTAAGCATCGGCCTAATTTTTTTTTTGTCAAAGACTTGTACACCACATCTCGGCTCTGCAACAGTTTTAAATCTTTTAGACTTAAAATGTCATTCATATACTAAATAGCAAAAATAAACTACGCCTTTTAATAAATTAAAGAGAAATTATATTATTTTTTACCGGTACTCGAATATCATAGTTTTTAACATAAAACCCAAAGAGAGAGAGACTCTTAAGAAGGTCGTGCGTATAGGATACCGATAAATAATAAATATTAATTATAGGTTATATTTTCTATAGTCATAAATATTCTTCTTAAAATCTCTAATCGTCTCGACCCCATTATGCTGTTTTTTTTTTTAATATAAATAAATATAATTCGCATTTACTTTGCTCAATTTATTCTATAAAAATATAATGTAATTTTGTTTTGTTGTATTCATTATGTGCTATTATTCCTTTAATTTTCAAACTAAATAAAATAATTTACAGTTTTTACCCCAAAGGAATTATTTTTATATGCTGTGGCGAAACGGTCGACTTGTGCGAATTTAATTCTGCCCAATATGTTGTGTGCAGCGCAGTGGCATATGTTGCTACCAGTGCTCGGCCGGGTGATTACTACCGCGGGGTTTGTTTACTGCATGTCGTGCGTAACGTCAATAAGATAAGATTTTCTTTGTCAGAGTGAGTAAGTAAAGGCAAAAAAGTTTCCACAAGAGAATTATTTCAAGCTCGTAACTGTTTATTGTCGGTCATCCTTGCGTATTGCATCCCGATTGCGCATCGTATTGTTTGGGATTTGGTTGTTACGTCATAGTTTATAGGATTCTTAAAACTAATCTAATATATTTGGCTGTATGTTTACTCGAAACTAGAGCTTGAATCTCCGAAGTAATTCTCGGCCAACTTGAAGAGTTAATATACTATAGTACCCGAACATTTCCTTTGTACACTACTGAGAATCTGAAAAACTGTACTATTACTACATCTGTATACATTTTTAATTATTTATTATTTAGTATATATATATATAAATTTTTTTTTGTTAAATTGTCTTTATTTAAACGAAATTACTAATAACAACAAAAATAAGTGTGTGTGTATAATGTTAAATGTATTTTAATTAATATTGCGGAATAATATTTGTTGATATAATATGAATTTTGTCTTTGTTTTGTGGGTTATGTCACTTATGTGTAGTTTTCTAGTAGGAAATTTTAAAGTTTATATTTTCTTTCGAATGGTCAATCTTTTGTTGATAACCATATTCTTAGTCTGGATTGTAAAAAGTCATCGATTACCCCATTGGTGAATTTTACGACAGCTGTCAGTTCAGTGCAGTTATGAATCTAAATCCGTAAAGTAATACGGGTACACGCGGTTGTCGGTTCTATCATAACTTTTTCATACAAACTGAAAGCAAACTAAGTTTAATTGAATTTCTGCTCGGTGTGGTTATTTATTTTCCATCGTTTACCTAGCAAAATTAATTTCAAGCCAACAACATTGCGCTGTCAAAGTCCAAGTAGAAAATTATAATATATTTTGTAAAAGCGTAGATGCGATGCTCTTTAAAGACCGATTGTTGCATTAAGCGGCTGTCGTTTAAAAATAATGTTATCTAGTAAACATTCCAGGGCAATAAGTGTCACCAATATTTGTGAAACAGAGATAAATCTAAAATAATATTCATAAATTTATTAAGAAAAATAACACTCATTTCAAATTTGTGAAAAACTCACCTAATTACTTTTTAGTTGAAGTTTATATATATACTGTGACGTGTAAATTATGAATCAGCGTGCATATTATTTTTAGGCCTTTTTTTTTAGTTAAATATGTGTTTTGTAAAAGATCCTTTAGACATTATACAAATATTTTTAAATAAATTAATGTGTTCATGGTATGCGCTATTATTAGTGGTTATTTTTTTTATTTGAGAATTTGTGTATTATAACAGTTATTTGTATTAAGCCTAAAATTATTTATAGACTTGATTAAACATTGTTCCACAGTTGAAGTCATTGCCAGACTTGTTTTTTGTGATATGACGCATCTTTGGTATTATTATTTATTAAAACCATTTTTTTTTTTAGTTTTGTTTATATAATTTCCACATTAGCGTGAACTAATGTGTTATTATCGATAATATGTTGTAGACAACTGTTGTTTATTAAAATATTTGCTCTCCGCCATTAAACATTTAAGTTTGTTATAATTTGTTATTAACATATTTGTTGACGGATTTAGCTTTAAAAAAAAAAATAATAATAACTGCGTTAAGTTTAAACTAAATATATAACCACAACAAAGACATTTACGTTGTATTGTAATTTGTATTGAACGCTTATTATCATACGGCGCTTTTGTTTTTGTGTTACTGAATGTAAGAGCATTGCAAGTTTATGTGTAGTATTTTTTTTATGTATGAGTAAATTAATTATCAAAAAGATATCAATAATTATTGAGAAACTATAAACTGAATACACACACACACATTATTATTTATTTGATATTTGCTGTTTAATTTCAAAAATTGTGTCAGATAAGCTTATTTTTTTGTTATGATGATATCATTAGAGATTCAAAGTGACAAATCACCGAGTCTCTACAATATGCCGTTAACGCGGTTCCCCTCTTCATTGCGTGTGTTATTCGTAAACGTTTTAGATTATATTATTTATTATTTATTATTATGCGCGTGTGAAAAAAAATATAAATGAATATGTGAACAATAGTACCGCGTACGTCCTATTTATTAATACCGCGCGTAATCCCTAACAATTTTGATTAACATATTATTATGTTAAATATTGGTGTTGCTATAAACACATAAAAAAAAACAGGAAATTGTTTTCAATCAGTTTTGGACGTGACTTGTAGTGGGCGGAGGAAACGTTTAAACCGTATGGCAAAGATTAAAAAACAGCGTTTTAATTGACACGTAAAATACCAGGCCCTACAAAATACTATCATAAAAGTGACAATTCGGAGGGAAAATGCATCCAGAATAACCATGGTGTACTTTTGAACAAGTTCAAAAATTATACGTACAACAGAATGACACCCTCCCTCTATAACGGGTAGTTGATGGCGTCACGTTTTTTGTAGTGTACATTGCACATTCGTTGCAGCCGGTGTTAATTATTGGAAGGTGGTTGTAACTGAATGTTATATAAAATGAATATAATATTATTATGTGTACACTGACGCAAATGCGCGTTTGAAATACTCTGCCGGCTTTATTTGAGTAATGAAATTTAAAAAAATATGATCGTGAAAAATAATTTTTAGACAAAAACACGGTAAAAACAAATGGGCTTTAATACAAATAGGCAAGTACCCGTGTTTGTTACCAGAGTATTAGAAAATTGAAAATATGGGTGTTTAATAAATACCCCAGTTTTTAAAGTAATACGCATGTAACTGTATGGTATATAAGGCAAATTCCAGCTAATATTACCTATTAAGATTATATATCTTGTAATTATATTTTTCTATATCATCATTGCGCTGTCACTACCAATTAGGGGGTGGCTATAGCAGTTTTAGTGTGTTGCAAAATGTAGGACTAAAGTCAGTCTGAAAATAATTATCGTTCAATATATCGTGGTGATAAAATATTAATAATAACAGTATTTTGAAAAATATTGTTTTTAAATTCTATAAAATATATTACATTTATTATTTAATTTGTATATACATTTTATAAGTTTTAGCTATTTATTTGTATTAATTAACAAAAATGCCTAGTTGTTTTATTTGTTAAACAATAAAAACTTTTTTTTTCCTTTATGTGATTATACTGGTTTTAGTCCTACTTTTTACTTCGCTCTTGCATACAAGCTAGTACATGTTAGTTCATCTCTTTATATTATTACTCTATGCTACCAATATCCCACAGTAAAATTATCACTTTTATTAAGCCCCCCCACCTTTTACAGTACTATTTTAAATTCATAATTTTTTAAAAATTAAAACAACTACAAATTTTTGATTTTGAGTCAATACATTAAATATAAATTGTATGATGTATTTTTTTTTGTTTATAAGCTAAGGGGTTTTGACCGATAACCGACGTTGTATAAGTATAACAAGAGTCATGTCAAGGTATAGAATGGAAGGGTCCTTTGTGTACCTATTGACAAAAGAATATAAATATTTGTGAACGTTTTTTTATTAAAACATTTTAAACCAAAGCATATTATAAAACATAAAAACAGTTAAGGATGTACTTATTTTTTTTATATTTAATAAGAAGACTATTCAATGTTTACCTCATTTTGAGTATATCATGGTTTATTTATTTTTTTTGGAGTAAATGTTAAATTTGTTATTTACGTTTCTCACTGTTGAAGTTAGCAGCAATATAATATTATGCAATTTTACTTACGAATTAGAATTTATTGTTCCTAATGATTAACGTGTATCAGTTTTTAGTTTGATGATCCTTTATTTGTTTTTAATTATTGAATTAAGTTAAAATTGTAATACTTTTTTGAATATTGACAGGTAATACATAAGACGGAAATTCTTTATATTATGTATATGGTTTATTAATTAAATATTTTTTAATTTTTAAAGACAAAAAACATGCTAGCTGAGATCATTGTTTAAAAAAAATATTTCATATTGCAAAAGAATAATAAAATGCAAAATATATTTTTTATTTATTAATATGTATTACATTATTATTATTTCCAAATAGCTATACATATTATACCTATTATGTGTTTGAATATATTAGTAAATTAATAGTGGGAAACTTAGGGGTTTTCTCAATTGTATTATGTATTATGCACTTATGAAACGTTATTTTTTTCAGAGCATCCGAGTATTTAGAATTTGAACTGTGCCTACCAGATCTGTCATGGGAAAGTTACTAAGCTTATTAGCTCGAGACGAGCACAGTTGCTGTTCTGCACAACAAAAATACGATATTTTTTTAGACTTTGAAAGTAAGTAAAACGTTATTTATGTGTATTTTACATTATTTAATACTTGTTTTTCTTTAGTCGACGGTGACACTGTTACAGACTTTCGATAATCTCTTTTAATTTACCAAGTCTCCTCGTATTAGAATTTGTTGTACTAAGTTGTTTGCAAAAAATTGGATTTACGTAACCCATGTAAGCGCATTTGAGACAGTATAACCAATCCCTAGTAATTGGAATGTAAAAGCTACTACATTATGTTAGTAATTACTTTTAACGTTGAAAATAGTATTAAAAAAAAGTAAAGGTGTTTATTGTTTCATTATATGCCGTGTAAAAATACATTATGCAAAAGAAGCCCAGATTTTATACTTAATCAGTATATCAGTAGACAAATAATATTTATACACTAAGAGAAAATGTGTTGTTTATGTAAAAAGTTGAACTTTAACAAAATAATTTGAGTTTCGCAATTATGCATTTAAATACTATTTTATTTCAATATTTATAATGTTTTAAACTTTATTTAGAATTTAATCTATGGATTTGTGTTAAAAAAATGTGCTACAAGGATTAAACCTATTTTTATTTATAATATCTAATTATATCTTAAACAATAGAATACATTTTTATTTTACACCTTTTGTATTATTATGAAAATGTATGTTTTTAAAGTGGTCACATTGTGTGTTTTTGGAGACTATTAACTTAATATTATTGTTTAAGCCAAAGGAGGTAGTAAATGTTTTCGAGAATTTTCATGTTACACTTTATTAATGAGATTGAACTGACGAGATGACACTAGTTGAGAAGACCGTGTCCTTTAATAAGTTGAACACACACCTAGCAATAATTCATATATTAATGTCGGCGCCTTGTGTCGTCATTTTTGATTGATGACAACAGGCCGCAGTAATTTATTTTTGTACCAATTATGCGTTTAACGTTGACCGATGACATTTAAAAATTGACCGATCCTGTTTTTGTTTTTAATTATTACAGATGCTCAACCCACCGAAAGCGAATTGCAATTGTTTGACGAAGTACAAATCGTGCTTACTGAAGCTTCAGACATACTGTCTGAGCTGAAACAATATTCAGGCGCTGAACAACAAATCAGAGACGCTATAAACAATCCTAGCGCCGAACAGAACGCCGTAACATGGGAAGCTTTAATGCCTCGGATCAGAACTTTGAGGAGGTTTTACTTCTTTTCCCAAAAAATCGGTGAGTTTAGTCTTATTTAAAATTTTACATTTAGTTAAAGAAAATTTCAACTATTATGGTCAGATATTAATTTTTACAAAATTCAATGGATTATTAGTAAATTATTATTTAAAAATAAATTAAAATTTGTTTTTAACCGATTTTTAATGACCTAACCCAATTAAACGTTCAATGCTTATTTTTTTCTTGTTAAAAAATAAATTATTTCACCAACTAGGTTAATAGTTTCTGTGGCATTTATTAGGCAAATAACAGTGTTAATACTTTAATAAACACGATTGTGTCAAAAATGTATTATATTCTAAGCTTTTCTTACTTCTATGTAGAATCCAAAACGATATTTATTAAAAATATTAAATTATTTTTAAGTGGAGGATACCTAAAAATTAAATTATTATTCTGAAAAACCCGGTAGTATAACGGAGCATTTACGGTCTGAAATTTAAGTAACGGGTTTTTACTGTTAAAAATAAGAAAACTCAAAACATCTGTCGTGTCGTCAATCGTATCAAGCTCAATGATAAGGTTTAACTTCCTGGAATGAAAAAACCAAATCGATTATAATTCCTGTTTTTTTTTTTGTTTAGCTTTTGTTGTTCCTCAAATATTAACCGAAATATGTTCGGATGACATAACTCCTACGCTGCATTTAGAAAACCAACAAGCCCTAGTCAAACAATTCTCAGAGATCATTGAGTTTGTGTTGAAGTTCGACGAATATAAGGTACTTGATATATTGTTGGTTTCCGTACTTTTTTTTTGACTAATTGTCAAATTAATTGTGGCTTTTATTTGTTTTTTTTTTTTTTTTAGATGAGAACTCCTTCGATTCAAAATGATTTCAGTTACTACCGACGGGTGTTGATGCGTGAGGGAGGCGAAGCTCTACATTCGTTTACCGACCAAGACGAAGACACCAACAGTAATCTGAACATAGCCAACAAAGTGTCGTTGTTCTACGCCGAAGCCACACCAATGCTTAGGACCCTCTCCAATGTTACTTCACAGTTCTTGAATAAAGTGAGCGCACACGACACGATCTAGCCGTACTCGTTCTGAGTATGACGGCGGGTAATACCTATTTTGTGCTTTTTTGACAGGACAAACGGCTGGTGGACTACGCCATTGACATGCTGAACACTATGGTGAAAGTGTGCTTTCGCATGTTGGAGACACCGTAAGTTGGTTTAGAGAAATTTAAGCCCTCCTGCGCTTACGCAAATTAAACGTCAAAGTTTATGTATATTATAACAATATCAGTCTGTATTTTGGGTTCAAAAAAACTATTCCAACGTTAAGAAACTACTGTTTAATACATGTTTTCATTTCTCATAAGGTCAATTTTTTCGTTTTACTTTTTTTACTGTTTAATAAACATTTATTTTAACTTACCCTCTAAATCAGTAATAATCGCTATTCAATAGAGAAATACCTAAAATTTCAGATGCTTATTTAAACTTGAGTACTTTTTTTTTGTATTTGATATTAGCATAGGAAATTAAAATTTTTCATTAAAAAAAAAATCTATTTTGAAAACTAAACAACATTTTTACAATTTAAAAAAATATTCTTAAAGCTGAAATATGGCACTTTGAAATCACTGTCATAAAAATGTACAATAAAAATTGTTTTTATAAAGTTACAGTCCAATAAAACTGATGACTTGTCAAAAAAAAAATGTTATCCCGAATTATCAAAAGCAGGATTTTGAAGTGATATATTTTAGCACTATATAAATTTTTTAAAAATTGAAAATAATTTTGATTACATTTCAATTTCCCATTTTAATCAAATTAACTGTTGAGGAACTTTTATTTGAATAGACGACTATTGATTGAAAGGGTAAACTTTAGAAAATAAAATACACGGAAAGAAAGTCTAATATAAGTATAAGTTTTCTAATAATAACCGTAGAGGTTTTTTTTTTAAATACGACGATTGGCTCTATAAGAGTCGAATTAAAGTTGTTTATTATGTGTGAGCAATATCGTGTCTTTAATGTCGCCTACTTTTTACTTAATCGTCACAGAACCGTGCAGTTCCGAAAACAGGAGACGCACTTGTTTATGTTGCGAGTGCTGGTCGGATTGATCATTTTGTACGATCACGTTCATCCAAACGGAGCGTTCGTCAAGGCTTCCAACATCGACGTAAAAGGATGCGTCCGGCTGTTGAAGGACCAACCGGAAGAGTTCCAAACGGAAAACCTGTTGAACGCTCTACGGTCGGTACCTACGCGGAATGCATGACTATATTATCATTTTTTTCTTAAATCGTTTAAACCTATGTTATCGATTATTTTTCTTTTGCACAGATATACCACTGTCCACTTAAACGACCCGTCTACGTCGAAAACCCTGAAAGCTCTGTTGATGGAAGCCTGAAACAATGGACTCTTAAATTTTCGAGATCGGATTGTTTTTGTATATTATATATAATTATAATACGTAAAGTTGCAGTGCATAAGATTAAGTTAATTTATTAAAATTGTATAAATAGCAATATTTTTTTTTTTTTTTTAATTGTTTTGTTTCTATTCGTACTGATTTTACCCCTAGTCACATATTTGTTGGCAAATAAAAATCATATAACTTCAGCTAATATAGCTATAATTTACACGATAAACACGCTACACGAGAAATCTAATTTTACCGCTGATGTGAATCTGAGAAGGCGTATTAACTTTAATATTTACAGACTGCTGTAAACGCTGAAGATGGCAACAGCCACCGAAATACGTGTAGTCTTATAAAAGCGAATTTTTAGTGTGGGTAGGGTTTTTAATAGTATTAAATATTTTCCACAATCTAGCAAAGTTGGCAAAGGAGAGTCTAGACAATTATTAAATTTTAATGCGATTTAATCAAATTAAAACTCTTCGATGCGAAACTCTAAGTAACTGTAACTGTTTATAACCAGCATAACAAGAGGTTAGTAAAATGTGGTGGAAACAGTTCCCGGTTAAAAAGTATTGATAAATTTAAAGTAAATTAAATCATACTCGTAACAACAACATTCAAAAATATGAATTCGCTAAATGTGGAGACGCGTACAGCTGACGCATAAATAAGTAATAACGATATTAGCAATATAATATTTATAATAGTTTTGTAGGTTTTACAACAAGTTTAGTTGTCTAAGTTAGGATAGTTTTGAGAATATATGTCTGTCTTTATATTATTGGTTAATATTTTTTATGAGATTATCACAGCTTTCATTATCAATAAACGAAAATAGTATTTTCTTAGCTTTTTGAAAAGGTAGTAATAACTGGGCCTCCCTCCACAAATTAATTGTAAAAAATAGCCATTATTCAATCTAAAAAGAACTTTATTTTTTCCTTAGGTAGTTTAATTAAAAAAAAAAAATAATCATACCAAATAAGTTTCCGGGAGGATTTGTATAAGTTATGTTATTTCTATCATTAATATTGTATTTATAGTATTATATTACATGTAAATATGTTCAGTGATGTTAACAGAATGGTAAACCCTTGTTTTTGTACATATAAAACCGGCACGGAAAAATTATTTGAAATAAAATTTCAAAATAGTTTTTAAATTGGAATTTAATACTTGCTGCCTGCGTAAGAATATACAGTGTTCAGTAAATAGTTCTTAATAAAAAATCTTATTAAACGTTGTTAATATAATGTCACAAATAAGATTACAATTTTTGTATGGTTTCAATATAAGCCATAAAAAATGGACTACTATTTTTCTTATGTATACAACAATAATTATTTTAAATAAATTTAATTCAAACATGTCTATTTACCAAAGATATATTGCAACGAGTCAATCCTCAGGTGACACCATTTACGTTTATATGAACATGCACACAAAGTACGATGACTGTAGATATAGTGTATCATTGAGCAGACATGTGGGCACGATTTTTTATTGTTTTCCGCAATTTCCGACACATAAGTTTGCAAGATATGACTATAGCCAATATTTTATACAAGCTCTTTGAAAAAATAAAAAAATATATTATGTTTTTCACGTCATCTTATAATAGCTATTTGTGATAACAAGCAACCGTTGGATTGAAAGTGTCGTTTATAATAAACTAAAAGCGAGATGCGTCTAAAGAAAATCCACACCATCACTACTCACTGTACCTATTTTGACACTAGTATATAATATAATGATGGTACTGCAGATCTACACTCAGGTTATCTGATTGCGTACAACTATCATTGAAGCTGAACTAATCGTATAGTTTGAATGTCACGTGATAAGTCTTTAATAGGTTTAAACCAAAAAAAAAAAAAAACTACTAAATTATTACTATAAAATCGGCACATACAATTTGATCAATCATCGCAATAATTACTCTGTTATAATTAATGATACACTTGATGTCACTAAGTTATTGTTATAAATTCCTCAAACATTATCACGTTCATTTTCGATTGTTAAATATAATTAAATGCAATTGAATTGCTTACAGTTAAACTGCACGTCGGTTATTAACATCCAATGTTGAGTTCAGATACTTAACTTAGAATATTATGTCTAACAGAATGTATATCTAAATAAAACACACTGCGATAAACTATTTAGTCTTATGGATACTAATGTTAAAAAATTTGAGTGGGCATTTTGTGCGTTGTTGCTCTCATAGCTTCATTTTTATCATTTTTTTTTTTAATTCACTGTGTTCTGTTTTAATCACTTTAATTAATAAAATAACCGACGATATATATATATATATTGTATAATAAGAGATGGCCATGTACCTATGTTTCCAATATCTACCATACTATGAACCTAGATGAGCTACACTAGATACCATACATATAGCTATAAAGTTTATAAATGTCAGAAAAAATACATTTGTATGAACCAAATTACAATTAAAATTTTTATTTTAGAATTTTTTAATAGCGTAACAGTATCAACCAGTATTGATATACATGTATAAAATAATCAAATAACTGTCGATGCACGTATTTATATATGATCAAACGTTGACATATTAACTAATTGATACATATATCAAGTATCTTGTGCCTATATCGACAAAAGTATCAAGCCTCATATTTGCGCATGATATTGTTTTTGAAGTGTTGAAAAAATTTAAACATTTTATGACCACTAATTTGATTTTCGAATTGCATTATTAAAAATGTATTACGTTTGCTTTCAACTTCTATTTACTGACAGGCGTTGGCATATTTCAGAGGTCATGCGAAAATGAAAAGCTACTAATTTTTTCCCTAAACAACCGTCATCTCCGTAATAATCCCTCCGTTCGAACTCATAGCGATTCAAATCCCTCGGCGCAACCCGAGTTACTTAATGTGTGCAAAAACTCAAGACTTACTCTAGTCATGATTTATGACTCTCAGTTTCCTCCACGTTTCGCGTTATCCCTTCCCGTATCAGGGCGACGTGTATTGCCCGCCGAATTGTTATAAAATATCCAGATGTCACTCAACCCTTGGCGAACTGTCAACCATTTTTAGGAATGCATAATCTCCAGGCAGTAACTCTTCGGCCTTGTCGGCGTTGAATTATCCGTGTGACAAATGTCACTTGTGTTGCATCCTTAACGGTTAACCAAAATTACACTCTTTAAAACTCGGATGTATATCATGTAGATTCTTCCCATTGAGTATACTGTCCAGTGTCGGTATAATAATACCTTACATGAATAATACATATGTTAGTGGTTTAACAGCTAACTGAATACTTACATTCAATTAAAGTCAATACTTTATAAACCGTAAATCACAAGCAGTCCAGTCTGGTTAAGATTATTATATATTATAGAACCCACTTTTAGGGCTCCGACGAGAAGTAAAAAATAACGGCCATCTTAGTATCCATTTATATTTTGGAGCACCTGGATTATAGTCCAATAAATATAATATGACTAGAAGTATAATACGAATTTGTAGGTAAATTAAGTAAATTCAATTAATGTTTTATTTATAAATTTAATTGCATACTAATACTTGGAACTTAAATACTTTAATTTTCGTTTTCTACAAAAACAGGTAAGTGATCTCATTTTTTTTTTTAGTACTCAGAAATACACCTTTAAAATTAATTGAGTTTGAATGTACTAAAGAAAGTATGCTATTGAGAAAAACAAATAGGTTTAAAGAGATTAAAAATTAATTAAAAAGTAAAAAATAAATACCAATAAAGCGGTCAAAATAACGAAAATTTAATTTCGAGAATTGTCTTGTTTTAGACTGAAGTACAAAATTTTAGTGCTCGGTAGCACCTCTAACATTTAAAAAAATATTTTTTTTAATTTGTTTGATATAGTTTTTTTTTTTAAATAACATATTGTGGTGCTAAAATTAAAAACGAACTTTAATTTTATTAACGAATTCTTAATGAATAGATAACGCGTACATGTCTGCTTTTGATTTAACATAAATTAAGGTATTTAAAAGTATTTGTGCTTTAAGTTATTAAATAGATAGAGTCTTGACTTGAAAAAACTTATGTTTTCCTGTCATAATGGTGAAGCTCCAACGAAAAAATGTATGACTAGTTTAAATAGTTTACCGACTTACGTTAAATCACTTGGGTCGAGACGCTGCCGTTTATACCGAAAAACAGATTTAGAAATTAATTTTGGTTTTTGTTCGATTGGCTAGGTGTGTAGTACTCGCGTGTAGTCCGTGTAATCCGTGTAGGGCACTGCTATATTATATATGTACATACACGACACAGCAGGTAGAACAAGCAACGGTCGGCCGTTGCTCGTCTAGCCCGCCCCACTTTTCCCACCGGGATCATGTTTTATTCCCGTTTGTTACCATACACATTACATACTCCATCGCAATAGTTTTAAGTTATGTATCACGCGTTTTGGAGGGCCTAGATCCAATTAGAAACACGGATTTTCCGCGGCACAATAATTCATTCCAACGATATTACACACACATACACACACACACATGCACAAAAACATTTGTTAGACAGTAATAATATAGTAGGGTAGTAACCTACATGTACACTTGGAGAGTGATTTTTTTTTTGTACTTCCGCACCTAAAAACGTACCACATAAGAAGAGACGTTAGGGGTTTTTTACTAGTCCCCCGAGTTGCTTGACCCCGCCACCGATACCCCGGTGCTCGTTAAACATTCAAAAGTATACTGGAGACTTAAGCGTAGTCGATATACAAGCAGCCATGTAGTTTGCATTTTTCTCTTGACATACCATTAGTCTCGCCCAGAGTGGACTTAATCAGTCATTCTTAAACAATTGCCATTAGGCACGGATCCGAGAAATAACTTAAAAGTGTTGTACCTCCAAAATCCAGTAGCGTGTTTCGGATAATTTTCAAAGGGTGTGCCAAAGTCACTGCTTCGTATAATAATTGTAGTGGCTGAAATATAATATAAGATAAACAATGCTATTAAAGCCTAAGAGATAAAAAAAAAATCTTGAGATAAGTGGTTGTTTAATATCAGACTCTTCTACGGTGTAAAAGTCTGAGAACTAGGTATATATTTTGTTAAATACAAATACAACATTTATCTTTCACATGGCCA